AGCAAGGTTAAGTAAGCTCCCGAGGTCGTCTTTTTGTTTGGCCGGAGAATGACAGTTTGAATCCAGGCAGCCTGAGCTCTGAAGCCTTTCTGCCTTGAACAAGGTGCCCAAGCCTGTCCCTGCTGTCTGGGGAGGCACAGGCGGGGTGGTCCGGAGCAGGCGCTGGACATGCAGATCCAGCTGTAACTGGTCTGGGACCATCCACACAGGAGCTATGGGCCCAGGGAAGGTAAGACTATGTTGAGGACTTGGGTTCTCCTTTTTTTCGAAGCTGAATCCCCTGCCCATGTTGAATCACACATTTAAAAAGGCAGCCACATTTCATATCACATGCATATGTATTTGGCTATAAAATACTTAAAAATGATTTTCTAAATTCATTTAAAAATATTAAGTAGGCTGGACTGCAGTGGTTCATGCCTGTAATCCCAGAACTTTGGGAGGCTGAAATGGGTGGATCACCTGAGGTCAGGAGTTCAAGGTCAGCCTGGCCAATATGGTGAAACCTTGTCTCTACTAAAAATACAAAAATTAGCCAGATGTGGTGGCACGTGCCTGTAATCCCAACAACTCAGGAGGCTGAGACAGGAGAATCCCTTGAACCTGGGAGGCAGAGGTTGCAGTGAGCTGAGATCACGACGCTGCATTCCAGCCCAAGTGACAAGAGCGAAACTCCATCTCAAAAAACAAAAACAAAAAACAAATGTAAGTTATTCTGTTTGGCTATGATGACTAACCAATTAACCTGTACACTAAGAAATGCTTTCAAAGTCGTGTTACTTTTATAATAGAATGGACATTTTTTGAACACCAAATTTAGTTATTTTCAAAGGTGATAAATATTGTATTGTGAAAGTCTCATGAGTAGCTTGTGCCCCTGGGCTCAGCAGCAAAAGTGACTGCAGGCAGGGACCACAAAAAAGCAGGCAGGTGGGCTGGCCCAGCCTGCAGGTTTGGTAGCTGGGCCACCTGGGCCTGAAGCCTGCCCTGACACTGTCTGGTGGCCTGAGCAAGTGACTTACCATCTCTGTATCTCAGTTTCTTCTGCCAGATGGGAGTGATACAGGTATCACCCTCTTTGTAGGAGCCTGTGAGGGTGAGTATAACATGAGTTATAAGCAAGTGTGTACTCGACACATGTTAGCTCTTGTCATGGAATAAAGGATGTCAAGAACAGCATGGGGCTGGGCGTGGTGGCTCACACCTATAATCCCAGCACTTTGGGAGGCCTAGGCAGGCAGATCACCTGAGGTCAGGAATTTGGGACCAGCCAGGCCAACATGGTGAACCTCATCTCTACTAAAAATACAAAAACTAGCCAGGCATGGTGGCATGTGCCTGTATTCCCAGCTACTCAGGAGGCTGAGGTGGGACGATTGCTTGAACCTGGGAGGCAGAGATTGCAGTGAGCCAAGATTGTGCCACTCTGCTCTAGCCTGGGCGATGGAGTAAGACTCCATTTCAAAACAAAGACAAACAAACAAGAAAGAACAGCCTGGGAAGTGCCATTGTTCAGGAGCTTCAGGAGGAAGTGGAGGCAGGAACGAGACCGAGAGGCAGGAAGGCTGTGTAGCGAAGCCATCACTGGAGGGTGTAAGGAAGGAGAGCATAGGAGAAGAATCACTTCTGGAGATGGAAGCCAGCCCAGAACGCATGGCAGGCAGAACCCACTGGGTCGGAGGGACAGGAGAGGGGCACGTTTTCATCTAGCATTATGATCAGCCTTGCAGAAATGAACACACTCCACATATACGGACACTTAACAAATATAGCACTTGCACCTCAGAGCAGGGCCATAAAAGTGATGGTGCAAACTGAAACTGGGCAAAGCAGTCTTAATAATCAATGGGAAAATTGTGAGCATTCTGTGGCCTTGAAACCATTTTGTCAAAATATTAAAGGTTGTCTTAGTGTCAGTTATAAATGTACAGGGAAATAAAAGGAAATGGTGTAACTAACATTTGTTTAATGTTAAATCACATTAAAACACTGTGATTTAAACGTTCCAAAAGTTAAAGTGTTTTATTTCTCTGTAAAGAATTTATCAAGAGTAGTTCAAAAAGTGCCTTTCTTCTTCTCATCCTATAATGTTGATATAGTTTGGGTCTGTGATGCCCGCCCAAATCTCATGTTGAATTGTAATCCCCAGCGTTGGAGGTGGGACCTGGTGGGAGGTGAATGGATCATGGGGGTGGAGTTCTGGTGAATGGTTTAGCATCACCCTTCTTTGGCACTGTATGATGAGTGAATTCTCACGAGATCTGGTTGTTTAAGAGTGTTCATCACCTCCCCCATCTCTTCCATCAGCCTGCCACGTAAGACGTGCTTGCTTCCCCTCTGCCTTCTGCCATGATCGAACATTTCCTGAGGCCTCCTTCGAAGTGGAGCAGATGCTGCCATGCTTCCTGTGCAGCCTGTGGAACTGCGAGCCAATCAAACCTCTTTTCTTTATACATTACCTAGTCTCAGGTATTTCTTTATAGCAATGTAAGAACGGACTGATAGAGATGTACACTGCTAAAGCATCCTTTCTGGGTGTTGGTGACTTGTCCTATGCCTTTCAAAGTCTGGTTCAGCTTCCAACTTCTGCACATAGAACCAAAGCAAGGACTTATGCCTTTATTATGTAACAACGAGGACAGGAGTTAATGACACTGCTTTTTGCAATGTGGTCATGAACTGGGGTACTCATCCTGCTTTCTTGCTCTGAAGACCACATTTCCCACCTGCTGAAGAAATGATCGAGGGTCTTATAATGTGGTTCAGGAATGAGGGATTTCAACTCAGGCCCAGCTGTCTACTGGATGTATGACATTGGTGTGTATATTGGTTCATTTTCTCACTGCTATAAAGAATTGTCTGAGTCTGGCTAATTTAGAAAGAAGAGAGGTCTAATTGACTCACAGTGTCACATGGCTGAGAAGGCCTCAGGAAGCTTATAATCGTGGCAGAAGGTGAAGGGGAAGCAGGCATGTCTTACATGGAGGCAGGAGAGAGAAAGAGCGAAAGAGGAAGTACGGCTTTCAAAACCATCAGATCTCGTGAGAACTCACTCACTATCATGAGAACAGCATGAAGGAAACCAGCCCCATGATCTAATCACCTTCCACCAGGTCCCTCCCTTGATACATGAGGATTACAATTCAAGATGAGATTTGGGTGAGGACACAGAGCCAAACAGTATCAGCATATTACCCAAATATTTTGTGCTTCCATTTCCTCTTCTGTAACATGCACCTCAGCATCCAGAGCAACTGGGACCACAGGTACATGCCACCATGCTCAGCTAATTTTTTAATTTTCTGTGGTGGAGACAATATCTCACTATGTTGCCCAGGCTGATCTTGAACTCCCAGGCCCAAGTGATCCTCCTGTCTCAGCCTCCCAAACTGCTGGGATTACAGGTATGAGCCACTGTACCCAGCATGCTTTTATTATTTAAAATAGTGACCATGGGCATTTCCTAAGTACCAGGGCACTGCTGAGCAAGCAATAGGTACGACTTTATTCAGTCCCCATAACATTCCTGAAAGGTGGTTCTAGAATCTCCATGTTACAGATGAGGAGACTAAAATTTAGAGACAGATTTGACATGCTCATGGCCGTGTTAGACCCAGGTTCACCTGACTCCAAAGGTGAAGCCTTTCGGTCACTCTGTTACAGTTCTTCAGCCATCAAACTCTGAAAAAATCTGGCTATAACTGTTCTTATATATGTATTGTTAAACATATGTGTTCATTATAGGTTTTCGTTTTTTTTTTTTGGCAGAGTCTTGCTCTATCACCCAGACTATAGTGCAATGATGCTATTTTGGCTCACTGCAACCTCCACCTCCTGGATTCAAGCAATTCTCCTGCCTCAGCCTCCTAAGCAGCTGGAACTACAGACATGCACCACCACACCCAGCTCATTTTTGTATTTTTAGTAGAGACAGGATTTTGCCATGTTGGCCAGGCTTGTCTTGAACTCCTGACCTCAGGCAATTCACCTGCCTTGGCCTCTCAAAGTGCTGGATTACAAAATGGGCAGGGCATGTGAGCTACCATGCCCTGCCCATTAAGTCTATATTATACCTAAATGATCGATTGTATAATGTGTCAGGTCATATCTATACCCATCTTTATACCATAATTACTTAAGAACACAATAACTTTTTTGTCCATATCCTGAAAAGTCGATCTCTACCCCTGTGTTTGTTCTTTAAGTTTGTAGAAATGTAGATGATAGAATGGATGTTCTTATGAAATCATGAGATTACCACCCTAAAATGATGGAAATAACTAGTTCTGTAATAATTTCTGGGCAGCTTCCGATTAAATTTCCTTCAATCTATTTTGAGGCGTAAATATTTCTCCTGGGGAATCATTGAGTTCGGCTTTCTAATTTGATTTGGAAAAGAAGGAAGTGGAGTCTGACTGCCTCATAAGGAGCAAGGCATTTCAGTGCATTTGGGAGTTGTTCAGATATCTGTGTAGGTGTTTTTAATAAGTTAGTTCACCTAATTGTATTTCCTCTCCACTAAATAAGAAAAGTCCTACCCTGATGGGCTTAATCTTTCTAAATTATTTTCTGGTTTTAATTGTGCTGTTTCCCACAAGCACCTAATTTAATTATCAGATTGTAATGCTTTTCTGTGAAAAGATTTTTTGCACATTAGGAATGCTGGGATTCGATGTTTTGGGGAGTGGGGGAGAGTACTTGTTCACTCTCTAAAGAACAAGCAGGAAAAATGCCTGAACACTCACCTGCCTCAGTTGTTCAGGTCTTCAGGAGGTGTGCAATGGAAGACAGCCAGACCCAGTCAGGTGCTGTGAAAGACCACAGCCCTGTCCTGGGGTGCGTCCGGCGTAAGCTGCAGACACACACTCCAAGAGCTGGGGTCATTCTTTGGTGACAGGAAGGAGCTTCACTTCAAAAGCCATTTGCTTTGGCATGAATAATAACAAATCAGCTGACCTATAACCCTGCAGTGAGTTCAGGAAAAGTGTGTCCCACTAAACAATTAGTGTCCACAGTGACGTATCGAACAGTTCTTTTTGCAACAGTTTTTTTTTTTTTTTTTAGACAGAGTTTCGCTCTTGTTTCCCAGGCTGGAGTGCAGTGGCTCGATCTCAGCTCACTGCAATCTCCGCCTCCTGGGTTCAAGCAATTCTCCTGCCTCAGCCTTCCGAGTAGCTGGGACTACAGGTGTGTGCCACCACGCCCAGCTACTTTTTGTATATATTTTTTAGTAGAGACAGGGTTTCACCATGTTGACCAGGATGGTCTCGATCTCTTGACCTCGTGATCTGCCCGCCTCGGCCTCCCAAAGTGCTGGGATTACAGGCGTGAGCCACCGCGCCCGGCCTGCAACAGGTTTTAAAGACATTATACTACATGCAGAATAAGAAAGAAGGAGAAGAAAAAGGAATTGTATTTTTACCGTGATGGGAAGAAGATGGATCTTTCTGCAGTGGGATGGTTTTAGCTTCTAGGAAATTCACTCTTAAGAGCAGCTTCCAGCCTTTGAGATGCCCCGGTGTGCAGGAAGCTCAAGCCAGCTTGGCTCACTGGCTCCAGCATGTCTCTGGTCTCTTCCTTGTGCATCAGGAATCACTTTGGACTGGCCCAAGAGTGGGGCTGTGGGCACGCAGAGCACACCAGATTTCTGAATGATTATGGCCATGCATCATTGTGTAGGTGAGTATATGTGTATGTAAGAGAGAGAGGTAGAGAGAGCCAGAGATGGGGAACAGAGAAATGAAGCACGATGGCTGTCTTGACTGAGGATGACCGTGATGTTTTTAGTTTAAGTAAATTTTAGAGGGTGCAATTCTCTATGAGAAAAAAGTAACAACTATAATAAATATTCTGGGTTCTTCCGTATTAAGTAAAGAACCTGGACAACATCATAGTTTTGTCATTTTTTCCTAAAGCAGCATTCCTTAGAAGCATTCCTAAGGGTTCTGCTCGTTGGAACAATAGTCCGGAGATTTGTTCCATGAAAAAAATATGAGAAGTTTGGAAAATGATCACCTGTGGGCGACTCCTTCATTACTTTATTTAGTAAATTTTTATTAATAATTGAGATCTCACTATGCGTGAGACACCGTTAATGACATGGAATATTTAAGATGCAATCCCTGCCTTCCTCGTGCTTCTGTATTACCCTAGTTGTAGACAAGAAGGCAGACCACTAGAGTCCAGGGGCATGGGGCCAACAAAGTTGCCATGATGATCCAAGGGCTCCTACCTGGAAGTTGCAGGTAAAGGGTCTGAGAAGTCCTATAGTCAAGACACCTACTTAATTTCTTTAAATTCCGTGTTGCCAAACCTTTCTATACTATGTTTTGATATCTCTCAAAACATCTGCAGTCCCCACTTGTGGAAACACTACCCTTTCATAAACCCAGCAATTCAGTGGAAATTTATCATTGGCTTCCCTAAAGCAATTGCCTGGGAGCTCTTGTGCATGGAGAGTTTGGGACCACATTCGTCTTTTGCATAAATGAGTTAGGGGATCTGGGGAAGATGATTCTGTTTCCCCCCTCGTCTCTACTTCCTCGAATGACTTGTTATCTTGAATTTGCGTAATAGACGCCAGAAGGTTTTGTGCTACAATAAAAGATAAGACTTGAAGAACAAGTCCAGGATATGACCAGGAGCATACTTGAGAGTCAGTGGCATGAATGATATGAGAAGTCAGCTTGAGGGTGGATCTTTGTCCCTGGAGGAGAAGGCTTGAGGGGCTCTTGGAAGCTAGATATTTGCAGTGGCAGCAGCACTGGCTTCCTTGGCACATGGCTGCTCTTTGTATTCAGGATAAAACACACATTTGCTGCCCAGCATCTGAGGCTCTGCCTACCTTGGGGATGTTACCACGTGTCTGTCTCCCTTAGTTCCAGCCACACTAAGGTTTTGAGCCTGAGATCACCAGGCTCTCTGGGTCCTTGGCCTGCACAAGGCCTGGCCTGCACCCTCACCTGCAGTGTTGGCTTCCTCAACCCCTCAGGTCTCCTGCTAAACACCCCTTCCCTTTAAGGTGCCTTCACTTAACCTATGGGCACCTCCCTTTGTGCCATCTTTCATTTGTGTGCTCTCTTGTTTCCTGTTTCCCGCTTGAGAGTCACCCCCTGGACGGCAGTTCGGCTCCACTGTGTCCCCACTGGAGACACAGGCTCCACTGAAAACCACACAAGAAACAGGCTCTGAAATATTTGTTGGATTCGGGAATGGTTGATTGGCTTTCATTGGGCTGCCGGGAGGATTAAATTCTGAGTATATAAAGGTGCTTACACCACATTCCCATATGCCCGTTACATTGATGGATACGTATTACGTTCTGTGTTCTCCTGCCAGGGACTTTAAGAAGCTGCTGAAGAACAAAAATGAAGGTGGGAGCTGTTGGTGTCGAGTGACTCATAGCACCATCCTTCAGGGACGGTGTGGTTGGCCAGAGTATGGTCAGGGAGAGCCAAGAGAAGAAGTGCTTCTGAGTATGACCCAGCAGGGTGGAAAGAAGGAGTCTCCCAAGTGCACATTTGTTGGAGGAAGCTTTTGTGGGCTCCTGACATTCCATTATTCTAGAACTACAAGGTAAGAACAAGAGGAGACTTGGGGAGACTCTGGTCCAATTCGTCCTTTTTTTTTTTTCCAGATGTGGAATTAGAGGACCGAGGGAGTGAAGGGCTTTCCTCCTCATCACTTGGGTTAGGACCATGGAGCTCCTGGAGCCTCGAGATTCCAGGCCCAGGAGCACATCCTCATTGTGCTTCTTGGGGCTCAGGTGCATCTCTTAAAAACTTGTTCTTAGACGTGTTGTGTTCAAACTTGTTGCATCATGTCAGTCTTAATGTTATATCTGGAACAAGGAAGGAGAGAAGAAAGGAAAGCAGGAAGAAAGAAAACAAAGAAAGAAGGCTTTGGAAGGCCGAGGTGGGTGGATCACGAGGTCAAGAGATCGAGACCATCCTGGTCAACATGGTGACTAAAAATACAAAAATTAGCTGGGCATGGTGGTGCATGCCTGTAATCCCAGCTACTCAAGAGGCTGAGGCAGGAGAACTGCCTGAACCCAGGAGGTGGAGATTGCGGTGAGCCAAGATCGTGCCATTGCACTCCAGCCTGGGTAAGAAGAGTGAAACTGTCTCAAAAAAAAAAAAAAAGAAAAAAGAAAAAGAAAAAGAAAGAAAGAAAGAAGGAAAGAAAAAGAGAGACTGAGAGAAAACTGGAGATATGTACACACACACAGAGAGAGAGAGAGAGAGAGAGAGAGAGAGAGAGAGAGACAGAGAGAGAGAGAGACTTCTTGGCATCTTACCACAACCATTTTTTATCTACGGAGCAGAAATATTTTACAATACCTACAGGCTCCTGGGCAGATCATCATGTGCAGACTGCTTACAGAGAGAAGAAAATCGTTTCACTTTCATCTTCCTGGTAAGGCTGGAAGACAAAAGCCATCCCTTGTTACAATTTTGGAGGCTACAGGGAAGGCAATTTTAAGGAAAAGACAGATTCTTTGACTGATGCAAATGGAATGAACTCCAATGGTGTCCTTTTAGAAATCACTAATGACGCAGTTATAGGATGACTGTGGCATATTTGATTAAACAGACAGGCAGAAAGAAGCAAGAGGAAAGCCAGGAGGGCATAGTTTTATGTCAAGGTTCTGCTGAGTTAGTGAGGGTGTGTCCTGCTTTCAGACTTGGCCATGCTTTAATTCTGAAAAGTTCATCGCTTGAATGGTGCCACTTATTTTAGGTTTATTTCTGGCACACTGGATGGGTAAGGCTTTCCCAGAACCTTTCATAAACTCAGTTGCTAGGCTTCACCGCCCCATCTCCATCCAAACCCTGGCCCACCCTTTGCCATCATCTACCAAGATTTTCAAGGAGAATTCTTTATGCTTCCTGTTTACCGCTTCAAAAGAAAGCCTTGTCCAGGGTTGACATCAGAAGGTTCACCGTATCCTTGATGTCCTGTTTCCATAGGTCTAAACATCTGTAGACTCCTTATTTAACTTCAAACTCCTGGACTGAGTAGGTAATTCAAAAAAGATTTGCCAAATGCTTTTAAATCTTAGATCAGTGGCTGGCACAGTGGAAGATGTCCAACAAATATTTGCTGAATGAAGACATTAGAATATCAATGGACGGAGGTGAATGCCCTGGGTCCCTGTAATCTGCTATAACGCTGGACTCTCAGACCAATTTAGAGCAATTTTTAAAAAGACTTTGCTATGCTTCACTTATGATGGTAAATTGAATATATTTTTGAATGAAGAATTATTTTCTTCTACTTTTTGGTTCAAATTCTTAAACTTGATGTTTAAAGAAGATAGAAAATGAAGTAAACCTTGGAATTTTATGAAGCTTTATGATTCTTAAATCAGTAGAAGTCAGTTCTCATTACCTGCTCATCCTGTAGTTCTCTTCTCCACAGGGCCATTTCCAGATATGAATTGCAGAGAAATATTTCAATATGTCCTCACCCAAATATCCTTTTAAAAGTACATTTCTTTTAATGCAGTAAGATTTATGTCCTGTGTGTGTGTTTAGAGGGTAAATCTGGATTTGTATTTCTAGAAGGTACTTTTAACAAAGAAATTGGAAAGAAACAGTATTTTAGAAAAATCAAAACAAGCCACAGAAATCTAATATTTTTCAGATACTATATTGGACAGAATGAAGAGTAAATCCAGAATATGGAAGAATAACGTATTCTAATGTAAACACCATATTCTGTCAAATTATTTGCCTGGCAAAATTAAATTCTTTAAAATAAACTTTTGTTCTTGTTTCGAAGTGAGTTGTCTATGAAGAGGCAGTGTAGGTTGGTGGTTAGGAGCACTCTGGAGTCACAAGCCTGTTTTAGAATCTTGGCTCCCTCACTTACTAAGGGTAGAGCTGTGGGCAGGTTACTTGTTTTCACTCTCTCCTTTTCCCATCTGTGAGACAGCAATGAGAAAGCACCTAAGGAAAGCGGCCTTTGTGAGAGATGAAGAAGTTAAGACCTGTACTCTGGTTTAAATGTGTCTCCCACAAAATCTACGTAGAAACTTAATCCCACTTTGATGGCTGTGTTTGTCTGTTCTCACACTGCTAATAAAGACATACCCAAGACTGGGTAATTTATAAAGAAAAGAGGTTTAATGGACTCACAGCTTCACATGGCTGGAGAGGCCTCACAGTCATGGCAGAAGGCAAAGGAGGGGAAAGGCCTGTCTTACATAGCAGCAGGCAAGAGAGCTTGTGCAGGGGAACTCTTATTAATAAAACCATCAGATCTCCTGAGACTCACTCACTACCATGAGACCAGTATGAGAGAAACTGCCCCCATGACTCAACTATCTCCACCTGCCCTTGGCACATGGAAATTATTAAAATTTAAGGTGAGATTTGGGTGGGGACACAGCCAAACCGTATCAATGGCATTGAGAGATGAGATATTTTGGGAAGTGATTAAATCCCAGGGGATGGAATAGATCAGTGCCTTATAAAAGGGTTGGAGGGAACTGGTTTAGGCCCTTTGGCCTTTCTATTTCTTCTGCCACAGGAGACACCCTCCAGAGAAAGCAGCAACAAGGCACCATCTTGGAAGCTGAGAGGGCAGCCCTTACCAGACACCAAATCTGCCAGCACCTCTGTCTTGAACGTTCCAGTCTTCAGAGCCATGGGAAGTAAATTTCTGTTCTTTATAAATTACTCAGTCTATGGTGTTTTGTTATAGCAGCACAAATGAACTAATACATGTGAAACGCTTAGAGCTGTGCTTTGCCCAGAGTAAGTCCTCAGTTAACCTTGTGAAAAATTTGGCAAGTCAGTAAAGGTAGAACTGAGAAATCAAAAATTACCTACTTTCCATCACTTGCAGAAGCCACTAGTAGCATTTTAGCATATTGCTTTCAGTCTATCCCTATCCATTTACAATATGAGACTTTACTACTTACAAAATGTTTATACCCCTTGCTTCACTTGACACACTACAAGCATTTATTTATACTATTTAAATTATTTTAAAAGTCTCTGCCCCTTCTGTAACTACTTCTTCTTCTTCCTCCTCCTCCCTCCTCCTCCTCTCTTCCTCTCCTTCTCCTTCTTCCTCTTCCTTCTCCTTCTCCTTCTTTTCTTCTTCCTTCTCCTCCTCCTCCTCCTTCTTCTTCTTTCTTCCTCCTCCTCCTTCCTTCTCCTTCTCCTTCTTTTTCATCTTCTTCTTCTTCTCCTCCTCCTCCTACTTCTTCTTCTCCTTCTCCTTCTTTCTCCTCCTTCTTCCTTCTTCCTTCTCCTCCTCTTCCTCCTCCTCCTCCTCCTCCTCCTCCTTCTTTGTGATGTAGTCTTGCTCTGTTGCCTGGTCTGGAGTGCAGTGACATGATCTCAGCTCACTGCAATCTCTGCCTCCCAGGTTGAAGTGATTCTCCCGTCTGAACCTCCTGAGTAGCTAAAACTACAGGCACAGGCAATCATCCCTGTCTAATTTTCGTATTTTTAGTAGAGACAGGGTTTCACCATGTTGGCCAGGCTGGTCTAGAACTTCTGACTGTGATGCACTCATCTTGGCCTCCCAAGTGTTGGGATTGCAGATGTGAGCCACTGCACCCATAACGTATGGCCTTCATCCATAACTTTCTTAACCATTTCCTATTTCCCTCTTGTTGGATATTTAGATTGTTTCCAAGAACATCAAAACACATGAAAAATATTAACAGTTTTATGCTTACTGTATGGAATGTCTCCAAATCATAAAGCCATTTTACTACTGAAATGACGTACATTTTTGAAAACCCTACAGAACATGGTGTTTTAGACATGGCGTTTGAAACATGATGAAACAAAGCTTTTTATCTATTGTGTTGATAAAAAGCGTTGAGAAAAAGTGAGCAGTTAAAACAAACAATAATATGGTTTAAAATACGCTGAGCACTTTATATTTTCCTGGCACTGAACCCATCCCCAGTACCTCACAGGTATTAACCAGTACCTCACAGGTATTAACCAGTACCTCACAGGTATTAACCAGTACCTCACAGGTATTAACCAGTACCTCACAGTTATCTCGACAGGCAATTTTTTTGTCTCCATCTTGCAGGTTTAGAAACAGAGTCACCGAAAGGTTGAATGACCTGCCCAAGGTCTTCACTCTAGTAAATTGAAGTGCTGGGATTTGCACCCATGAAATCTACTTCCAGAAACTGTATTCTCTGCCACTGAATCTACACTATCCTTTTTACATAGAGTATTTATTCTGAACATTTCATCAGAAATGCTCTACCGCTGATTTTCTTTTCATTATTCTTTATTTGGAAAAAAGTAGAAAGATCAAGTAAATTTTGGCAAATGGATATTTTTCTGTACATAATATCCAAAGCTCGGATGGACTTTCACGTAATGAACTATTTAGGCATTTGTTTTTCTGGACTTTTATTTAGAGCCAGATCAAAATTTCAGTGGGTTGCTTCCCACCCTATTTTAAATTGGGTTATGGTATAACTTTGGAGAGAATGACTACACTGTTTTAGAAATAAACCTTTCTTTTTTACAGACTCGCAGTATTTCTTTGAAGTGTGCATCTGTTGTGAAGAAGGAGTACAGCTGGAAAAAATAGAGCGTCAACTGTATTTTCTGTGTAGGTGTTTTTCAATCGGCTGCCCAGGACGATATTGCATATTTGAGCAATATGCTTTCCATTTTACTGCCCTTTTCCAAATCACACAATTAATAGATAACAACCCAAGATCCACATACACTCTGAGGGCTGTGGGGAAGTGGAGTGAGAGAAGAGAATTCCTGTGCACATGGGCTGAATGGGTGGTAGGGAGGAGTTCTAGTTTTTCCTTCTATCTTGGAAGGATAGGACTTGGTTTCTTTCAGAGACATGAACCCTTATGTGCTAGAAAAGGAAGCCGCAGAGAATTTTCCAGGGACTGGTACAAAGGTTGTAAAATAGGACATGAAATGACAGAGAAGCGGGTGCTCTTACTGCAAAGTCTGTCTTGAATTTCAGCTTTACTGGGAGAGGTGTGTGATATTATTCTGCTAGTAGCTTCATGGGTTAGCCTCATAAAACATAGTTATCCCCCCAGGGGATGCTGGTCTTTTCTTATTTTTTTCATCATTCTTCCTTATTCCTCATTAAGAATCACAACCTTCTCTCTCTGTCCTTCCCCAAATTTCCAAGCAATAGAAGGACACTTTTATAATTATGACTCCATTAGAGATCATCTAGAAATCGAAAATGATTCTGTGAAGCCCAAATATCTGAGACAGGTCTCATTCAATTTAGGAAGTTCATTTTGCCACAGTTAAGGAGGTGCACCAGTGACACAGCCTTAGGAAGTCCTGACAATGTGTGTTAAAAGTGGTCGGGGCAATAGCTTGGGTGTCCACATTCTAGGGAGACATGAGACATCAATCAATTATGTAAAATGTATATTGGTTTGGTCTGGAAAGGCAGGACAACTGGAAGCAGAGACAGGGCCTCCAGGTCATACATAGTTAAGAGACAAATGATTGCATTCTTTTGAGTTTCTGATTAATGTTTAAAAATGAGGCAATCAGATACACATTCATCTCAGGAGCAGAGGGATGGGAGGCATGTTTGCCCTCAACAGTTTCCCTCTTGAGTTTTCCCTTTAGCTTAGTGATTTTGGGGGGGAGGGTCCCAAGATTTATTTTCCTTTCAAAAATCCAAATGTATGTGTCTCCAGATATTTTATTTTATTCTCATAAAGGATGGGAATGCAGAATATGCTTTGTTTTATTTTTTTAAAAAAAGACTAGGTGTTTACCTTTAAAATTTCAGGTTTTAGAAACATTGTGTTTTAGAAGTCTTTCCTTGAAAAATATGCAGACCGAAGCAAAATCTACTCACCCTCGCTTTTAGGAGACCTCAAACTGAACATTTGCCTACGTGGCCTTCTTTTGTTTTTTCAAGCTTATTTCAATAGGACTGATCATAACTCGTATTCAAACAGCAATCCAAAGGACAGAAGATCTTTATCCTTGCAAAGGGTGGTCATAATTTTGTTAAGTAAGAAGACACCGGTGAAAACGATCACCGCAAATCCATTTCCATAAGAAAAAAGAACCAGTGTAACTTGAAAAGGCCTTTTATTCAATCTCAAGGACAGAATTGGGGGAAAATTCTAAATGCTGAAATCACAATAAGGCCCACTAAGATTTTCTCCTATTTACTCGCAGACCCTGCTCTAGACTGCATGCTGGACAGGGGGCTGCCCTGAGCTCACACCACGGCCGTAAAGCTCCCTGCTTGCGTTCTCCCGCCCGCCTGCATTCCCGCCACCGAGCAGCAGCTGTGTGATTTTTTTTTTTTTTTTTTTTTTTTTTTTTTCCCGGCCCGGGCTGCCCTGGGCGAATGCTCTTCGTCAAGTTCCCTCTTAAACAGTGGTCAAACATTCTTCTGGTGCATCTATTATTTTCAGGTCCTTTATTACAGGTACTGACCCTGTAATCTCAGCAGCACAGGTTCGCCCAGCAGGGCTTCGGGATGCTTCCCTGACTCTCCCCCGACTTTCACACCAACGCCCTCCGGGGACGATTCCAATGGGTGTCAAGTCCATTCTCTGATGAACAGACTCGCGCTTTGAGAGCATCTTCAGGGTCAGCGCATCCAGGGACCATTTTCCTCGAGCGCCACCGCCTGGCCCAAACGGGAACGACCTGTGCCCGTTGCTGAGGACAAACACTGGAGATGGAATTTCTAGTGTTTGTACAATCTTCGTCCTTTTCCATTTTTTGTAAAGTGACGATGACAGATATTTTCGCTTATGACTGCAAGTATTTTTCCTCTGAATAAATATACCATTTTTTTCTGGCAATAATTTGCGTTTAAAAATAGGCCGGGCGCGGTGGCTCACGCCTGTAATCCCAGCACTTTGGGAGGCTGAGGGGGGTGGATCATGAGGTCAAGAGATCGAGACCATCCTGGTCAACATGGTGAAACCCCGTCTCTACTAAAAATACAAAAAAATTAGCTGGGCACGGTGGCGCGTGCCTGTAATCCCAGCTACTCAGGAGGCTGAGGCAGGAGAATTGCCTGATCCCAGGAGGCGAAGGTGGCGGTGAGCCAAGATGGCGCCATTGCACTCCAGTCTGGGTAACAAGAGCGAAACTCCGTCTCAAAAAAAAAAAAAAAAAAAAAAAAATACTGAGACTGGGCATGGTGGCTCACTCCTGTAATTCCAGCAATTTAGGAGGCCGAGGTGGGAGGATGGCTTGAGTCCAGGAGTTTGAGACCAGCCTGGGCAACATAGCAAGACCCCGTCTCTACAAAAATAATTTTCAGAACTATTGGGTGAGCTGGCGTGCACCTGTAGTTCCAGCGACTCAGGAGGCTGAGAAGGAGGGATGGCTACAGTGAGCTGTGATCACACACTGCACTCCAGCCTCAGTGACACAGCAAGAGCCTCCTTTAAAAAAAAGGAAAAAGAAAAAAATAAAAATACTGAAATGAGAGCTATCCTATACCCTCAACTATATATTACATAAATTGTATTCTTTCGAATTCTAAACGCTGGATAGGATGTGATTTGGTAATAACATAAAAATATAAGAGCAGAAACAGGCAAACAAAAAGGAGAAAGTGTTTTTCCTCTGGCATTCTAACCTTGGTGGACAGGATGGGTGGAGAACCCCTAAAGGGCTTGCTTGGTTGGTGCCCACCCCTGCCTGCTCCCCAGTGGTCAAGACGGAGCACTGATGCTACAGACCCAGGCTCCAGAATACACTGGAGGCAAAGGCTCCCAAAAGAGTGTGCACACCTCGACGAGTATATGCGTGTGAGCAAACACCTCTGTAAGGAGTCTCCTTGGGGCATTAAAAGAAAATATTAACATTTCTCTTCATACTTGTTTTTATCTCAAATTTCAATGCCTTTATTTTTATAGGGCACATGGAATTATTCAAACGCTTGTATATTGTTTACAAAGCAAATCAGTGTTTTCATAGGTCTTGGGTGTGTGGCTCTAAAAATTCGAGTTTGCCAAGGAGGTGGTGGAAGGATGATGACGGCTTCCCTTGGACTGGGCAGAGGTGGGTCGAGTAGGGTGTGGATCTTGATCTTTCTGCCTGGGGCGCAGTCCTATGGCCAAGGAACAGGATCCCTTTTTCCACCCCTTACTTGTAGACTGCCCAGGTGCAGGAGTGAGGGGTGCAAGGAGCCACCCTTATGAGAAGGTGCAGGCGAGGGGTGAGGGGTAGGGGGAGCTGGCACCTGGTGACTTTGCACTTGGAGGTTGAAGGGGACAGGATGGGGGGCAGGTGACCTCTCCAGGGAAGGGTCCTGGCTATTGGCCGGGCAGCAGGGTGGGAATAAAAAGGCCTGTACTCGCCTATAGAAAGTGGGGAACTGGAACTGGGACATGGGGTGGGTTTTGAAGCTTTAATTACGACTTTAAAACAAAGTTAAAAACATTTTTTTGCAAGTTCTTCCAAAGCTTGAAAAAAATGATTTTTCTAGTAGGAAAAAAAAACTTTCTGGTAGAAGAAAACTTTTCTAGACAACAACCCACCAGTCTAAAATTGCACCAAACTAAGGATGTTCTTAACATGGCCCCCAGTGGCATTGCCAGGCAAAAAATCCACACAGCTGGCATAGGGCCTGGCATAGGGCCTGGCATAGGGCCTGGCTGCAGGTAATCTAGCCAGCCTTTCTTTCTGGGTAGGGAGGTTGGGATGGAATTTGACTCAGAAGAAGGTTGTGGCCCGGCCTCTGTCAGCCTTATGGTGCAACCTAGGTAGGTCACTTCACATCTTGAGGCTTTCTTCTTTGCTAAACAGGTGGCAAATGTGTACCGAGAATTGGCTGGGTGTCAGATGCCGGTGGAATGAGGGTGCTGAAGACAGTATGTGAGCAGAAGACTGAGCTCATCTTAAAGTGTCTGCAGTTAAGTCTAACTTTCATTTCAACTAAAAAATTATATGAAAGTTCAAAATAAAAGTATAAAGAAGGGCCGGGCGCAGTGGCTCAAGCCTGTAATCCCAGCACTTTGGGAGGCCGAGGCGGGTGGATCACGAGGTCAAGAGATCGAGACCATCCTGGTCAACACGGTGAAACCCCGTCTCTACTAAAAAAATTAGCTGGGCATGGTGGCGCGTGCCTGTAATTCCAGCTACTCTGGAGGCTGAGGCAGGAGAATTGCCTGAACCCAGGAGGCGGAGGTTGCGGTGAGCCGAGATCGTGCCATTGCACTCCAGCCTGGGTAACAAGAGCTAAACTCCGTCTCAAAAAAAAAGTATAAAGAAGATTAAAAGGAAAAAAAATCTAAATACCTAACAGAAGACAAATCATAGAGCCCTCTCAAGCTCTGTAAAGCCCTGCATTTGGTTGCAGAAGTTTGCTGCCCTTTATGTAGGTGACCCTAACCAATTAAAAAGGAATCGGAAACGTATGCATTATATCCACCTTTGAATAGCTCTATTTTCAAAGTGGATGATGAAAACAGAATTAATGCATTCTATCCGCGAAGGCCTGAAGATGGATGTTTCTCTCAAAATTTATATGTTGAAACCCTAATCCCAAGGTAACGGTACCTGATACTGAGGCCTTTGGGAGGTCATGAGGGTGGAGCCCTCATAAATGGGATTAGCGTCCTTATAAGAAGAGGCCAGAGAACTTGGTAGCTCTCTTTCTACCAGGTAAGGTTGCAATGAGAAGTTGGAAGTCATCTGCAACCTGGAAGGGAGCCCTCACCAGGACCCAGGCATGCCGGCAGCCTGATCTCTGACTTCCAGCTTCCAAGGCTGTGAGAAATAAATTTCTGTCGTATATATATCACTCGGTTGATAATACGTCATTAGAGCAGCCAGAATGAACTAAGACAATCTCCATATTTGAATATATATATATTTAAAGTAGACAGGGAAAACAAAATTAATGATTCAAGGGCTAAGTTGCCATGCTTTTAAGAAAGATTATTTTTGATAGACATTTGGGAAAAAAAATGAGAGACTCCAAGTTACAAAAGAAGCGGGAATATTTTAATATGCAGCCCTGGCTTTGACATAGCAATACAAACTGTTCTTCAAGTGAGAGCTTTGACTATGATCCTAAAACAAGTTGCGGTCCCTCTGCTGTGACTCAAATCACTATAGAGGCAGAAACCCCATCTTGTTCTAAGGAAAAGGCAAAAGACAACAACCTGAGGTTTTAGTTCACGTATGTCTTGCTGCCAGCTGCCAGATTTCTTTATTGACTTTTAATTTGAGGTTTAAAAACAGAGGCTTTCCTTTGAACAGCTTGGGGCCAGAATATTCTACTGGTGTTGGGTCTTGTCTGCAGTGGATAGCAAATTCCTCATCACATGGGTCATTTGGTGACTGTGTGGATGAGAGAAATTATAATTTCATCATGATTTGGAAATGTTCCAGCAGGTTCCAAGAGGCGAAGTTTCTGGAATCACTGAAGACACAGTGTGCTGTTTGCTTTGCAAGAGAGTCTGTGGGTGGCCAGGGGCTGGGGTGGAGTTGGTGGGCGGAGAGGTGACATTTCAAGCTGTGGTATCTCTGTCAGTTGGGTGTCACTTGGTTCTTGTCTATTCCTTCTGGTTTGGAGGAAACACAAGTTGTTGTCCCTGCTTGGTTTTATCACGAATCTCAAACAAGTCACCAAGCTGGTCTAAGACTTATTTTCTCATCTATAAAGTCAGGTTTGTGTACGCTGCTGAGGCAGCATGACTGAGCCAAACAGCTCCATGACTGAGCTCTGGGGTCCCCTCTACCACTGGTGGGAATGCATATTGCTGAATATTTTGGAAGCACCATTGGAAAGTATAACTCAAGCCCCATATCAACCGCATGCATGTCCTCTGACTCAGCTATTCTGCTACTAGGAATTGTCCTAAGAATAGTCCAGCAACAGACACAGAGATTTATGTACATGTTCATTTACTCCAAATCAAAATGTAAGACAAGCTAAATACTTAAGGGTAAGCACATGTCTAAATAAATTAAAGCAATGTTCCATGCACTATTGTGTAGGCATTTCAAATTCTATTTTTAAGAATATTAACACCAGTGTTTCCTGACACAATATTAAAATTGTACAAAGCCAGACAAAATGTAAAGGTATACTGCAGGACACTCATTTTGCACCAAATATTTAACATACATACTTACATGAAAAAATCTGGAATATAAACAGCTACATGTGAACAGCATTCCTAGGAGATTAATATTCTTTATTATTTTTTCTTAACTATTCACCTTTCCTACAATGAACATGTATTGCTTTCATCATTGGAAATAAAATGACCAAAACGAAGAATGGAGTTTGTGGTCTCATCGTCTAATGTAACTGTGGACACTTCTGGGACTCAGAGGGAAAACGGAAAATACTGTGGATTCTAGAACCAGACTGCCTGGGTTCAAATTCTATCTCTCCTTTCTCTTGGTTAGCTTGGGTCATCCACTTAGCCTCTTGCTGCCTCAGTTTCCTCAGCTTTAGAGTGAGGGTAGCAGTAGTACTTGTCAAGAGAGTCAAAGGAGTCAAAATACATAAATCCCTCCGTAAGTGTCATTATCACTAATATCTGTAAAAATGAAAAAACTCTCCATTCAACAGATGTTTACTGAGCAGCTACTGTGTGCCAGGCACTGTCCTAGGTGATGGGAATGCAGCTGTACAGCAGCAATCAATACAGGCAAATTCTCTGCTCTCTCACAGCCACGTTTTAGTGGGGAAGAAATATAGCAACAAATAAACAGGGTGCAGGTGTTAAGAAGGAGAGAAAGGATGGGGGAAAGCGTGCTTGTTGGGGAAGGCTTGCATAAAGTAACATTTGGGTGGAGACCCCAGTGAGCACGGGAGTGAGCCATTCAGCAACACGGAAGGAGAGTGCTAGGAGTAGAGTGAGAACTCAGAGCATAGGCCCTGCAGTATGCTTGGCATGTTTAAGAAACAGCAAGAAAGACATATTGGATTCGATTTGGGTTTTTCCCAAATCAGACTCAGACAAGGATTTGAGTGTAAGTAGAACACTTGGCATACAGCAGTAGGCATTTATGTAATTCATGCATCTGGGAGTCGGCAGGGGGTAAGAGCTAACCTAGGTTGGGTTGATTAGTCAGGGTCTGCTGATTTGCATAGGTTTGCTCACATATCTGGGGGTCAGCCAGCATTTGGCTGATGTATAGTGGGTTCAGCTGGGGTGATTCAGCTCTGCCTGTGTTTCTTATCTTCCTCTTAGGAGCAGGAGTCCAGCCTGGCAGTCTAGTCTTATGCCCATGGCAGAGCAAAATGATTTGAGTGGAAACCCGTGAAGCCTCTTAATCCTGGCTCGGAACTGGCACATCCTGAATAGCCTCATTCCACCGGCTGAAGCGAGGCACACGGACAAACTTAAAGTCTAGGGATAGGAAAATACACTCTATTCTTCATGGGAGGGCGGGAGGGTGAGGAATGAATATTTCCAATCAATAATCTAACCTATCCACTCCCTGATTATTCTAATGAGGCCATGTTTCCATATGAAATTTCTTCAGAATCTACAGCTGAATGGTCCCTGTATGGTTTTGAGTTAGAGCTAGCCCAAAGAGAAACCTGAGTGAGATTTCCGAAGCAGAAGTGAAGCAGTGGCCATCGCTGTCTGGAGGTCTTTCAGTCAGCCAGATGCGGTGGGAGGCAGACGTAGCAGCTGCTGGTGGTCTTCGGCTGGGGTTCTCTGTCCTCTGTTCTGCCCAGCCCGTGATCTTGACTGCTGGCTTTTCCATGTGTTTCGCTGCAGACCGTAAGAGGTGACACAGCATCAGTGGCAACCCCCTTCCTGACCTCTACCTTTGTGGCTGCATTTGGCAACAAGGTGTGTTTGGCTTTTCAAAGTGACTGGCTGGTGTCTCCACCATGGATCCTCTCATCACACCCCCTGTCCCTGAGACTTTGACTTCTTCAGCTCCCCCTGCAAATATAGAAGGTCTAATATCTACAACAAGACTTTTTTCATAACACTCACAGCAACTCTGCTCCCCTGCTCAAGCCCCAGCTGACTGACACAGACCCTGCGGCTGCCACAACCCCATGAGCCCTGTGTCTGCCACTGCCTCCTAATGGCTCAGCAGCTCAATGCCAAACTCTTTAAAGCTTCTGGGGACTCTGCAGCCAACTCATGCATCAAAGCTTGACTACCTAAGTCCCTCCTTTCTTCAGGCTACTGCTCTCTGCTTCCTACAGTTTATCTAATCAAGATGATAAAAGATGGTAGACTCCACAGGGTGATGGATCATTCCCTCATGACATGTCCATGTATCTCGGCAGGCCCTCTGATAGTGCCAAACCTATCAGTGAACCTAACGGTGTGTGATTCTGCTCTGTAACCGTTAATGGGAAGCCATTCAGGGATCAGTTGGGACCTGGTCGAGTCCCCTGTGGTATAAGTGTCTGGTTCCTCTGAAGCTGGGCTGGAGCAGGGCTTTCGTTTTCACACCTCTTTGCCTAAATAAAGTTTGCATTTCCTATGAAAAACACAGTAATTTTGTCATAAATAGGTGGAATTATAAAATCAGGATCCTTTAAAAAAAAGAATGTATCAGAACTTACATTTCTTAATAAAAAATGGCCTCTTTGGAGTAGCTGCCTTGTGAGCTTACACTCTTGCTCCTATGAGAGCTTAAAGCATGTGTCAAACACCTTTTTCAGGCCTCATTTAGAATATTAAAGAGAGGTGACAACGCGTTCCATCTAAGGTAGATGTCAACCTTTTGTACAACGAGGAGTCAGTTTGTGATTAATCCGACAAATGAAGGGAGTTGTCAATGTCAGTGAAATGATCCTAGCACTAGAAAGGTGGGTTTGAAAAGCTGTGTCAGGCAGGTTCTCGAGAGATGTTTTGATGTTAACCCTGGAAAAAGTCACAGCCTTTCAAACAGACAACTTGAAAGAAGGATACATTAACTTAGATCGTGGTTCTAAAATAAAGTAATGAGAGTTCAGGTTCCCACAAGCCTAAGACCTCTGCTGCGTTTTTATTAGTAGGTATTATTGAGACAGCTAAGTAAAAAGGCTTCCCTGGAGAATCTGCAAAATGGGCCTGCACGCTGGGAGGATGGGGTGGGGCCTTGTTTGCAGTAGGGAGGAGCCTGGCCTCTCCCGTTCCTGGGTTGTAACCTGGGATTTAGTCTGTGAGATGGGGACCTGCTAACAGGAACCTCTCTTGCTTTGCTGCATTTTTTCCCTTTTCACCCAGTAAAATTCCATTTTTCTCAACCTTCTATGTGCCTGCGAGCCTAATCTTTCCTGGGCATGTGACAAGAACCTGGTTTTTAGCTGAACTAAGGAGAAAATCCTACAACGTTGATTTTAAAACCATGAATGTAAATTATTATGCATCAAACTGATACGTCCTTCACTTCTTAAATAACATGCTTCCCCTGACAATGTCTGTTTCATTTCCCGGCAGTTCTTAACAAGGCCGATTTGTCCTGGAGGGAATTAAAGAGTATGATCAATAATTAGCCCATGCTGAACTAAAAATGTGTGGATTTTACTTCTTACTGGGGAGTGACTTACAGCTTAGCAGGCCAGTCTTTCTGGCATGGCCAATCTTTACAGCTAAGCTCAATTCCTCAGCAGTGGAAGTCCAATTAGCAAAACAAAAACTACTTAAAATTATATGAAATTGCCTCTTCAGGTTAAAAAAAAAAAAGGTCAGATATTGGTGATTTAATATGACTAGCCTAATATTTCAACCAGTTCCCGGCCAGTGCCTCTCAGCAGCCAAACACAGCCAGACGACAGCCGACAAGAGAGGTCGGGCCCCCGGCTTGTAGCACTGAGCTGGGAAGGGAGGGAAAGGCTCTAGGCACCCAGGGGACGAGGCTCCACGTAGAGGCAGGGAACTTAGAGTTGCAGCTAGATGAAGACTGGCTGAACATTGATAAAGAGCTTCTCTTTCTGGAAATAGAGTCATTACAGATATGATTACATGACGATGAGGTCATAATGGTTTAAAGAAGGCCCTAAATCCAACGACTGGTGTTCTTATGAGAAGAGAGAAATGCAGACATGGAGAGACACAGACACACGCGGAGAAGACCATGTGACAACACAGGCAGAGATGGGCGTGGTGCGTCTACACAGCAAGGGCTGTTCAAGGGTTGCTGGCAGCCATCAGAAGCTAAGGGTGAGGGAAGGATCTTACCCGAGCCTTCAGGGAGAGCAAAGCTCTGACCCCGCTTTGATTTCAGACTTCAGGACTCCAGAACTGGGAGAGACACATTTTGTTGTTATTATTGTTGTTTTTTGTTTGAGATGGAGTCTCACTCTGTCACCCTGGCTGGAGTGCAGTGGCGCCATCTTGGCTCCTGGGTTCAAGTGATTCTCCTGCCTCAGCCTCCCAAGTAGCTGGGACTACAGGTACACACCAACACACCCAGCAGATTTTTGCCTTTTTAATAGAGATTAGATTTTACTATGTTGACCAGGCTCGTCTCGAATTCCTGACCTCAAGTGATCTGCCTGCCTCAGCCTCCCAAAGTGTAATCCCAATTATAGGTGTGAGCCACTGCACCTGGCCTGATTTTGTTGGTTTAGGCCATCCAGCTTGTGGTCATTTTTCATGGCGGGCCCAGCAGGCGAATACAGGAAGTATCTTAAGAAATTTGCTAAGGTGGGCGTCTGAGAGAGGTGAGGTGTGGGTCACCCTGGGCCAGGCCCATCAGCTTCCCACATTCTCCCCTCTGCGTCACTCCTCCAGGGTCACCTGCTTCTGGAACGTACATTGGTAATACAGCGTCTTCCACTCCAGAATTCAAGTGGAAGGCTCATTAAAGGTTACAGGTACTGAAAAATTCTGCAGAGTATTTTAAAGAAAGAAAATAAAATATTTTCTCCCCTTGCTCCTTTCCACTTAAAAATCTCAAAGTCTTTCTTCCTCACCTGTCCTTCATTTGCCGACACAAACAGGCTTTAGGCAGCAAGTTGCTTGGCTCTTGTTCTGATCTTTGAACAGTTACTGGCTTATGGTGCATGCACCTTTGGGGAGTAGTCAAGCACGTTGCAATCCCCTTTTCCTTCCTTTTGGAATGTGTCTCTGTTACCTCATGACAGAACGTTCTGATGGGGCTGAGCTGATTTTATGTTGCTTTCAACACTGTGCAAAAAAGTGTGCAGAATGGATGGGAATCTAGTCCCAGCTGTTGTGGATTATTGGCTGTCTCTTCCCTTCTGAAAGCAATTGTTGGACATTTACAAAAAGGGATACCTAGATCTTGATCGATTGCTGTCTCTCTCTGTCATCTGCGAGTAGTACTTGAAGTTCTCTGGGCTAAGTGAAGGGGAATTCATTCCAAACCAGCTCACGGAGAAAGGAAATACATCGCTTAGTCTGATGCAATGGCCTGGGTGGAGAGCAGCTTGGTCTTGGCCAGTGTTTCTTAAGGGGGTGCTTCCAGCATGTTGGGTGAGTTAAGTGTTGGTACAGAATTATTCCACACATTGTGGGTTGTTCAACATACCCGGCTCCAGCCCATAAATACTAGCAGAAGCCCCCGATTTCCATGATAGTTAAAATCCATGCCCCGCACCCTGTCACTCCTGGCCCAACTATGTATCTCTAAAAGGTGCTTATTGCAGATGCTGTTGTCCTTGGACTCCAGCTGTACACACCAAAGTCTTCCTACTGCAGACACCCGGGACTTTCTGCCTGTGGAATAAAGACTTTCTGCCTGTGAAGCACACTCTGACAACGTGGAAGTGCTAGATAGTGTGCCCTGGAAACAGCCCTCAACCACGGATGACTGTGGGCTGGTAGACGAACACCTCGGCTTTCTTACCTGGGACTGAAGCCGCTTTGAAGCACGCCCTGCACTATCTCTCAGAGCTTCACTGGGTACCGAGCTCCCGCTGCCCACACAGTCACTGACTTGATGACACACTCGTGTTAGTTTCGTATGGCTGCTGTGAGAGATGACCACAACCTACGTGGATTAAAACAGTATCACCTTATGCTATGAAGCTCACAGGCCAGAAGGTTCCAGTAAGGAGCATTTCTTTCTGGAGTCTCCAGGGAAGCACTGTTTCCTCATCTTTTCCATGTTTTGCTGGCCACCTGCATTCCTTGGCTTGTGACCCCCTCTTCCATCCTCAAAGCCAGCAGCACAGGGTCTTCAAATCTCTTTCTGACTGTGACCTCCCTCTTCCACCTTTAGGGACCTTGTGATTGCATTAGGTCCATCTTGAGAGTCCAGGAAATTCTCCCAGTCTGAAGGTCAGGTGATTAGCAAGCTTAATTCCATCTGCAACATTAATTCACCTTCAACTTGTCAGCTAACACAGTCACAGATTCCAGGGATTGACATGGAGACATCTTTAGGGGCCAGAATTCTGCCTACCACACCCCGCTTGTTGGCTTCATTCCCTTCTCTGTCTCATGGCCCCATTTCTCTATTGGTTTCCTTGGGATCATCTCCCAAATCAATCACTTGCACTAGAAATATTGTCTCATTAGCTACTTGTGCAGAAGCCTAAACCAAAACAATGACTAAAAGAGAATTCCTGCTTAGAACCATTGGTCTCGGGATGCCAGTGAGTCATTAGGATTTAGTGTCTCTCTGTCTCTTGCCCCTTCTTTCACTGAGTTTGCCCCTGGTGGCAAAATGACTAAGGCAACTCCCACTAAGCCAGCAACCTTTCAGATTCAGTCTCACTGGGAGAGAGTAGCTCCTGCCGACGTCCTGAGATTTATTTTAATGGTACTCCTTTAGATCATGCATCCATCCCTGACCTAATCCTCAAGGTGGAGGACGCCAGTGCTTTCATTGGCCAAGCCTGAGTTACATTCTCCATTTGTAGAACTGAGTTGAGACTCACCCATGGTTGTGGACTAAGAGTAGAAGAGGAAGAGGGGTGGCTTTGCAATTCAACAAAATTAGAAATTAGGACCCAAAGAGGCAGCAGGGCATACCGGGCAGGCAAATAACAAATAGCTACTTTGTCTTTTCTTTCTTTTTCTCCCTCTCTCCATCTCCAAGCCCCTTCCTTGTGTGGGCATCTGAGCCTGTGCATATATAACATAGGAGGCCTGCATGGACCTTAGGGAAGAACACCTAGTACATATATTGCCATAATTTCACATATGGAAAAATTGAAGCCAAAACACATGCAGGGAGTTGCTGTTGGTCACATGCTATCATTGTCAAAATCTCCCTAGTAATACTCTTCTTCTGATTCTAGGCTTTGGGACCTGCTTACCACAGTCTCATAGCTTCTGGACTGGATAACTTTTGTAGCTCAGCTCTACTTTGTATTAGCCGGTGCACCTAAGATGAGAGTGGAGCAGTGTCTTCCTTATTTGGACTTTTTCTTTTGTCTTATTCTTGCCAAATGCACTTTTGTTTCGGAACCCACAGGAAGACATGGTGCAGAAGCAAATTGAAATGTGCCTTCAGCAAATCACACTGAAGCTGATGTGCCTCACGTTGTGGATATGACGGCCCATTTCATGTGGCATAAAACACGATTTCTGATCCTAGACATGTAAACACTTTCTGGAATGAATAGAGTGATAAATGATGAGCATTTCAAATTTCATTCATCTTGGGAGAAGCTTTTACTTTTATACAGGGATAGAGTATGGGAATTTGAAGGCAGACAGATTTGTGTTTGAATCTGAGCTTTGCCATTTACTACTTCTGTGTATTCTTGGACCATTACTTAGCTGCTCTAAACCCAGTTTCCTTATCTAGCTTTTGTGCTTGTCAAGGTAGAGTAGACCAAATAAGGGCATAAATGAAATTCAAATGAAACATCAATTCCATTCTTCCCCCAGGCCTGTTTTGTCTTTTTGTACAATGGGACTCAAATTTTCTGCCTCTATAATGTTTTTAATCACAATGTTAGTTTCCATTGCTCATGAGCTACAAGGTAGTGATTACCTGTTGATGCATTTAAAAATCCCAAGTTTCAAGGCTTAAAAAACAAACATTTAATATCTGCAAGTTTTTATGGGTCAGGAATTCAGAAGTGGCTTAACAGAGTAGTTCTGACTCAGGGCATCTTCTAGGACTTCAGTCACAATGGCCAGTGCTGTAGTCTTCTGAACGTTTGAGGTTAGAGGATCAGCTTCTAAGATGGTTCATTCATATGGCTCTCAAGTCTGTGCTTGCTGTTGCCAGGAGACCACTAGTCCTGCCTTTGTGAGCCTCTCTAAAAGGCTGTTGCTGCTTGAGTGTCCTTACAACATGGTGGCTTCCACTCCCCAGAGTCAGTAATCCAGGAGAGAAAAAAATGGAACCTGCAATGTATTTTGTGAGCTAGACTTGGAAGTCACACACAATTATTTCTGCACTATCCTCTTGGCAGTCCCAGTCAGCCTTGTTCAGGTTGCATGTGAACACCAGGAGATAGAGATTGCTAGGGAACCTACTAAACACAGATAAATCCTCTCTTCAGTTGACCTGTGGCGTATAAAGTATTATGCCAATTACTCCAGCTACTGTTACTTACAAGTTATGACCTGTGATGAAGTCAATAACTTTGGTGTGTGACTGGTGCAATCAGTGTGTTCCTGAGTTTGTCTTGAATGGATTTGCTTATTTCTATGTCGTGCAAATGGCAAACCACGTGAGGTACACTGACAGGAGAGGCTGGAGAGTGACTGCTTTTGTACTCAATGAATCTACAGTGGCCAGTTCAACAGATGTGGAAGAAAATATGTCCCCAAACACATCACCCCTTTAGTAAAAGCCAAAAATCCTACACAGTTTAGGCTCTTGTGTAATGAAGATAGAACATCTGCAGCAGCCGAGTGATCTGCTTAGGAGCTCAGCCAGGAGAATGTTCGCAGTATCAAGCCCAGAAATCCCGACCCAGGAGAATGTTCGCAGTTATCAAGCCCAGGAATCCTGATCCAGAGAGACTTCGCTCCAGCAAGATCTAATTTGCCTTTAAGTAGAGCAGGCAATCAAGAAATGTTCCTTTCACTATGACAATGATGATGATGAATAAGAAATGGCTTTAACACATCTGTAATCCCAGCACTTTGGGAGGCTGAGGCGGGTGGATCATGAGGTCAAGAGATCGAGATCATCCTGGTCAACATGGCGAAACCCCATCTCTACTCAAAATACAAAAAATTAGCTGGGCACGGTGGCGCTTGCCTGTAATCCCAGCTACTCAGGAGGCTGAGGCAGGAGAATTGCCTGAACCCAGGAGGTGGAGGTTGCGGTGAGCCAAGATCGCGCCATTGCACTCCAGCCTGGGTAACAAGAGCGAAATTCTGTCTCAAAAAAAAAAAAAGAAAAGAAATGGCTTTAATAAGACTTTAATAAGGCCTTCCAACCTCAGAAACTCCAATAACTTAGATATCAATGCACAGATAAAGAACCTCATTTGCAGCCCTTAAATGATCACATTGTTTTCCAAGAGTTAACACCAGGAAATATGGATCAGGTCTCTCATTGCATCATTTATGATATGCATTGCAAACTCATGAGGTATAGTCATGGGAGGAAAGTTGTTCCTCCCACTGAAATATATTAGTTAGATCAGCTGTAAATCAACTCAGTGTTTCTTGGGCTTCATTTCTGTGTAGACTTTCTACCCCTCTTGAGAATAAGGCTATGTTTGGTTATTTAGCATTTCCTGGTTTCTCCGCTCCTTGATTGGCCCCTTTAGGTCACCCATTGTGTTTCTCAATCTTAATTTTTGGTGAGAAGTTTAGCCGGTTAATTCCTAGAATTGCCTTCTTTAAAATAAAGAATAAAAATAGAAACAAAAACAAAAACCAGAAACAGCTTTCCATTCTAGTCTCTTCCACATAACCCTGAGGATGCCGGGGAGGGGAGTGGGAGAGTGTGAACTTGTTGGAACATATGCTTTTGGTTGACTGTGTGAATGTGCATGGAACATTTACAAGTGATGACTGAAAGTCAAAGTTTCTATAAACTTTTTCCCACTGCCCCTGCCTGCACATGGCAAAACACCACCATGGATGGAAAGAATTTTGCATTGACAGCTGGCAGAGAGAGATCTTGGGCCATGGGCTATTCCTTGGGCAGCAGTGGGAGGGGAGTGCAATTTGCAAAGGGGGAGGATATTTTAGTTCAATCTTATTTTCTTTCGGTTTTATTAGCTTTGTGTTAATAGAACGTAGAAATGTGAATCCACCATAGTATCATTTTGTATTTATGCATTTCAAGGCCAATTCTAGTCCAATGTAGGAAGACAGAGCACAGACAAATTACATTGTTTAACATAACATACCAACTAAAATTGCGGGGAGAGGCTTGGGGATCTTGGTCTCTTTGGGTTTGGGGGTTTTAGTCTCTAAAATTAGAAAGTTGCTCAGGGAGGCTGAGGCTGGCGGATCACGAGGTCAGGGGTTTGAAACCAGCCTGGTCAAGATGGTGAAACCCCGTCTCTACTAAAAATGCAAAAATTAGCTACTCGGGAGGCTAAGGCAGAGAATGACTTGAACCCGGGAGGCAGAGGTTGCAGTGAGCCTAGGTTGCATCACTATACTTCAGCCTGGGCGACAGAGCAAGACTCCTTCTCAAAAACAAACAAAAAAAGAAAGTTGCTTATGATTCTCAGCATTTTCCACCTCGGATGATGGCAGTGAGTGAATCAGTGAGAGGATGCCTGACAAATACTCTCAAGGTGGCTCCTGGACAGACAGTGGCAACAAAACAACACAGTGTGTAACTAGCACAGTCATGGAGGGTGGACGTTCCCACCTGTGTTCAACTGTTGCACGTCATTCTGCATTTTTTTTTATCTTGTAAGTTTGGTCACCTCTGAGAAATAAATCCCTGGTAGGTTTGAAATATAGATGCTTTATCGTGATAAATCCTCCTCTTCTTCCTCTGTCTTCTCCTTTTTCTTTTAAAAAATACTTAGACTTTCTGCTGTGGTCTCTTCCCAAGATTTATATGTAGAAATGCTAACCTCCAAGTGGTTTGTGTGGAAGTGGGGCCTTTGGAGGGTGATTAGGTTATGAGGTTAGAGCCCTCATGGATGAGATTAATGCCTCCATAGAAGAGGCCCTGGAGAGGCCTTCCTCTCACCTTCCTCTCACCTTCCTCCCTGTGAGGATGCTACTGTAACACCAGAGGTGTGGTCTAGGTCCTGCTGCTCATGGCACAGAAAGCCAATCACTGAGACAACAAGTATTGCCAAGGAAGAAGGCTTTAGTCAGGTTCTGCAGCCAAGGAGATGGGAACTCAGTCTCAAATCCATCTCCCTGACACACTAAAACTAGGGGTTTCTATAGCAGGGAAGCAATGTAACAATATGTAAGAAAATAGAACTAGGGAGGGGCAAGGAAGAAATAATGATAAATGAGATTGTATATTTAGAGGACCCCATTGTCTCAGCCCAAAATCTCCTAGCATCTCATAGTCAGGAGGTAGTAGTCTGGAGAGTTTCAGATCTATGGTGCCTTTTTCTTTTTTGAGCGGCCTGAAGCTCATGTCCTTAGGAAGGAACCCAGATAAAACAAATGTAAATTTCAAGATTTAAGACTAGAAGTTTCAGTTTCTATGTTTATTAAAACACAACAAAACAAAAAAAAATATGTCTGTGGAACAACTGGGTTAGTTTCAAGAACAGATGCAGAAGACTTCTGTCTATAACAGATGTCCTTGTCAGACACTGAATATAGGCACCTTGATCTTGGATTTCCCAGCCTCCACAATTATGAGAAATAAATTTCTGCTATGTTATAGGTCGCCTTATCCATAGTATTTTGTCTTAGCAGACTGAGCAAACAAGACACCTTCCTCATTTCTCAAAAACTTTTAAAGTGCTTTTTCTCTTGAAAATTGCTTAATTATTATTACTTTAAATCATGTCCACTCTAAGCCTAGACCAATCATTACTCACGCCCTGAGCTGGTTCAGGCTGTGCAGATAATATTGAGGTGTAGTTAGAAAGAAGAAGAAGTAACGCTTTAGGTTTGTTAGCTAACAGTATTTGTCCTGAAACTGAATCCCATTTTATTACAGAAAACTTAGAATAAACTTAGAAAATAAGTAATTATTAACTTTTTTATATATACAAAATTATATGCATGTGTTACACTTTATGTTACAAATAGGAACATAGCATATAATTTTGTATCTGTTGCTTACTATATTCAAATATAAATTGTGAACATCTTGCCACAGTTTCTACAGTGCCGTTTTAAATTAGTGCATTATTTTCTATTGTGTGACTATATTCCCACACTGTCAGGTATTTCTTTAAAGAACTAAATATTCTTTTAAAGCATCAGTTTTCCCTCTGTATAAATTTATCATAGTTTATTTACTTCACTGCAATCCTATATTGCTGGACATTAGGGTGGCTTTAATATTTAATATATAAATAAAGCAAAGAGAAATCATGATGCATATCCTTAGTTTTTCCTTGAACTCTGCACTTTTTCCTTAAACATTCTGTTATTGCTGAGAAAAATATATGCAAATTCTTGCAGTCATTGACACACATGACCAGCTTGCCCTCCAAAAAGATGATATCAATTTATATTCTTGTAAGGAATGTCTACATGTAGGCATGTCTCATTCTCCGAGTTTTCATCAACATTAGGATTTATGTGTTTATTGTCTTTTCCAAATTGACAAAACAAACTCCATTATTATCCTTGTTTGCATTTCTTTGATTATAAGTTAGTGAAGTTAAAAATTTTTTTGTATGTCAATTGTCAATTTGTATTTCTATTTCTGTGAAAAAAATTTACACAGTTTTGCTCCTATTCACTTTGAATTGCTTGTCTTTTCCTTTAACAAAGTTTAATACAAATTATTTAAAAAGGATATTAAGAGTGTATTATCTGTATTAACCTATATTTTAATCAGTTTAGTTAACTTTGTTTTTTTTGATGGAGTCTCTCTCTGTTGCCCAGACTGGAGTGCAAGGGCACAATCTCTGCTCACTACAACCTCCACCTCCTGGGTTGAAGTGATTCTCCTGCCTCAGCCACCCAAATAGCTGGGATTACAAATGTGTGCTGCCATACCTGGCTAATGTTGTATTTTTAGGATAAAGGGGGTTTTACCATCTTGGCCAAGCTGGTCTTGAATTCCTGACCTCAGGTGATCTACCCTCCTCAGCCTCCCCAAGGCATGAGCCATGGCACCCAGCCAGGTTAGTTAACTTTTGCTAATAATTTTGTGTATGGTATTTCTTGATAAGAAAAAGCTTAAATGACTATCAAGCCAAATATGTTCATTATTTATTTTATAGTTTCTGCATTTGACGTCATTAGTGTTTTTTCATCAGTTTCCAAGATAATTTTGTAAGTTTTTCTTATTGTTACAGGTATTTCCCTACATTGTCATTTGCTTTTACATTTGCTTGTATCCAAAAGGCCAAAAAGCAGGGTTATTTGCTTCTAAGACTTTTTTTTTCTACATGTAGAGTGTTTAATATTGTTATTTAGTCCAATTTGTTGACGTATTTCTCTGTCATTCTTTTCCATGTTGTTTATACTTAGAGACTCTTCCCATACTCAGAGAGCAGTGAAGGGATTACCTAACAGAGCCCTTCAGTGTCTGGGCTGCTAGGCCTGAGTCCTGGCTCTGCTGTGACGGTGTGATGAGCTTCTCTTACCTCAGTCTCCTTGACTATACAATGGGCATAATCACATAGGGGAAATAGGTGGGCTATTAGTTCTGTGCCTCGCACATAGTAAGCTCTCAATATTTTCCTCCTAAATTAAAAACAAATAATTCACTTATTATATGTGACTTCCCAATTTCTCTGGATTGTTTTTTGTTACAATTTGAAGGAACAATCCAAACCCATTTGCTTCTGCAAATTTTTAAGCAGCCTTTGACATGCTATGAATGACTCTAACAGCAACCAGAATGACTGACTACTGCTATAACGTTCTATTGTATCAGGTAAGATGCGTTGAAATAGATCCTTAGTGTATATAAAAACAGAACTATACACAAGAATGAAAATACTACAAACTGATGGAATGAATTACTCAACAAGTGGTGACAGAAAAATTAACTGTATTTGGAAAAAAGATTTAATTAGATTCTCTCATATACATCAAAATAAATCCAGAAGAATTAATGTGCTATGTAAATATATTAATGTATGTCACCCACATATTATACGCACATATGAAATAACGTATATAACACACACATATCAAGAATCTTATAATGCTAATACAAATTCATCATTAAGTATTGACCAGGCACTGAATTAGGGCTATATGCAATTTATCTTATTTAATCTTGTCACAAATTATATGTTTTCTGTATTATTAATGCTATTATATTTAACAATTGAGGATGCTAAGGTATACCTGAGGGTGTATGACTTGCTGTGGTCCCCCATAGGAAACAGCAAATCCAGGATTGGTACCCAAGTAGTAGTTCTTCTCCAGACACTGTGCTACGTCACCATGAAAATAATGATAGATTTTACCTCATTTATTTTAAATAAAAAGATGCCTGTATTTCAAAGAACAACCATAATAAAATTAAGTAAGATACAACCAGGAAAATTTGAAAGCATTTCTGTACATAAATATACTTGAAATTGAGTTTCTGCTTCTTCAACAGTTGTATTGTGAATTTGTGGATGTTCAGCAGTTCAACTGTGTAATTGTGGATGAATTCTGATGAAATTTGGAGAGTGAGCTTGGGAGGACGTGGTATAACAGGTAGGCTGTGTGGCATGTATGGAATTCACTGTTCAGGACCCCGGAGGACAAAGTGCACTGGAAATAAAGATGTGTTTTCCTCCACAGTATGACATACAGAAATATGAGAATTTTTCATGGTGGCTTTAGTGAAGAAACATGCCAAATGCATTTAAGGTGTCATGAACTGGAAAAGGAACAGTGGTTTCTAATGAGTATATGAGTCACCTGGAGATTGCTGCTCTAAAATGCAGACACAGGTAAGCAATCCAGCTGCCTCTCATGCGGTCAAGCTGTATAGATTGACTAAGATAAACACCAACAGTTTTATTTATTCAATAACAGCTAATACTTCTTCCAGGGACTGCCAGGGAGGCTGGCTGCTATTTAAAATGTCATTACAAAAAAGCTTATGGTGAAGATGTGCAAAAGACAAGACCGTAGCTGTTCAGTAACCCAACATCCATTTTCAAAGCCCCTTCACTCTTGCCCATCTCCATTATAGAGGCTGGAAAAACTAATAATCTTCCCAGGCTCTTCGTGGCTAGGGTGGCCATGTTGCATAATTCTGACCAATGGAACATAAGCAGAATCTTCATGAGGAGTGTTTGGGAACAGATATGGCTGCCTTGTTTTTATTCCCTTCTTTCTGACTTGAATAAGGATGCAATGCTGGGTCTTCAGCAGCCATTTTGCCCACATGCGTGAGAGGCCATGAGATTGGCAGAAAAACTGTCATTGGCATTGTTGAGCTACTGAACCAACCCTTAAAGCCAAATTCTCCAAACTTCTTGAAAAATATGACTTCATTAGAAGTCATATTTTCTCTTACCTGCAGCTCAACTTTTTCTGACAAATATGATGTGCAAAATTAGAAACACAAATGGCTAATGAGACACTTAAAAATAATTCAGCATCAATAAAAAAGAAATCACATTTGGCAAAGATTTTGAAAAGATAATGACATTTAGTGCTTGGGATCCTGATGCAAGGTAAGTATTCTCATTCCCTGCTTACAGCATTTTAAATTTGTACAGATTTTCCTAAAAGATGCAGATGAATTTATGAAGCGCCTTCAAAGAGTTGCTACTCTTTGATGGAGTAATTTCACTCTTGGGAACCATCCAAGGGAAACAGTTAATAGCAGGAACAGAGATTCACATGTGCTGTGATCTAAATTTTATAAGAAAGAAAAGGGTGTATCTCTATAGATGTAGAATGGCAGAGAACAACATAAAAAGGTTAAGAATTGTTACCTCTTGTTTTCAGTGATATTTTGTCTTTGCTTTTTCAATTTTGTTTTTAGGGAAAACATGTATTTATTTGTAAATTAGGAAAAAACAACATATGTTATTTAAAAGAGTAATAACCCGGAAGACCCAAGTCTCTGTTCTTGGAATCTACTGCTTTTCTGGAAGTAACAATGAGGCAACTTTACAGGTCTTTGATTATAAGCCCTTCTTTTAATTTATTTTTAAGTGTGTTACCGCGAGGCAGAATTTACTGAACAGAGTCATCATATAAAAGCCTGGGCATGATTGCATGCACACACACATTCACTTGAACTTCACAGTGGTCCTGGCAGTTATGAGGTTCTTATTATGCCCATTTTTACTTCTAGGAAAGAGAAAGAAAGGAAAATTTAGGAAAATAAAGGAAAACTACCTTCCTAAAGGTCACTCACCAGTGTCAGATGGAGTGAGAACTGGACCCAGGTCAGCTAATTCTAAGCCCTGAACCCTTGTTTGAACAGCAGGATTTCTCCCATGCATGGGTGAAACATACATTCAGTTAGAGCCCCAGTTGAAGTTCCCTGTAATTGCAAAAGAGACCAAAGAGAGAACTGGTGTTATGTCCGGACCGGAAAAGGCTGAGGAACAACTGCAAAAATTACACACATTCTGAATGTTTATTTATACAAATCCCTCCACCCACATCTGTAACGTAAGCAATGTGCAAAAAAGAAACTCTATTTTTGAGCTAAGTGCCAAAGCAATTATTGTTAATAAAGAATAAACTACTAGAACAAAGTTGTGTAGATCTTCATCAGGGGAATGAGAAGAGGGTGGGAGATGAAATTGTGTGTGATACAGAAGAGGTGCTGAATTCCACTGGTGTAAACTGATAGGACTGATTCAAGCGGCTGTGTTCCCATGAATTTCCATCATTCGTTTTACATATGATGCTCCAGCCAAACTTTTAATTCTAGAAATTTACTTTTCTTTTCGAGACGGGTGTGATGGAGAATATTGTGGGTTAGAATATTCTTAAATAACAGCATGTATATGAAAGAGATGGTTCAGCTAAATGGGCAACACAATGTTATCCAATTTTTTTTTTCTGTGACAGAGTCTCACTCTGTAGCCCAGACTGGAGAGCAGTGGCACTATCTCAGTTCACTGCAGCCTCCAGTTCCTGGGTTCAAGTGATTCTCCTGCCTCAGCCTCCTAAGTAGCTAGGATTACAGGTGCCCTCCACCACACCCTGCTAATTTTTGTATTTTTAGTAGAGATGGGGTCTCATCATGTTGGCCAGGTTGGTCTCAAACTCCTGACCCCAACTGATCTGCCCATCTCAGTCTCCCAAAGTGCTTGAATTACAGGTATGAGCCACTGTGCCCCATCTCAAATTTTTAATAGACATAAAAGCAAATGCCAAAATAAAGCTGCAAAGATACAGTCATTGCTAATTATGACTGATTGTTAAGAGAGGAGGTTCTTTAAAAAGTGAAATATACATGCCAGAAAATCGACAAATCCTTTGAAAAAGTAACCAGACCCAATAAAAGAATCTTCCGTGTGTACAGTTTTCAATGCTGCCAGGCCATTCCCTATAAAGCCCAGCCTGGCCGAGTCAGACATGGCGAGGGAGTGGGGCTTTGGCTCCAAGATTCTGCTCTTTTCCTCCTGGCTGAGTGACCCTCTCCTCACTGAAAGTCCATGTAAAACTAACTCAGATTTTTGAAGCAAGAGCGCAAAGATATTTTGTTTCTGTATGGACTACTGCCTGATTTTCATTAAGCGTATTCAGATTTATTTTATACCCTGGACACGCGAGTTCGTGCTTACTTTTAAGTTGTCAAGGGTTCATTTCAGAAATGAAAATATACGGCTTCTCTGTTTAGATGGATCTTTTAGTTCCCTGTTCACTTTCTCTATTTAAGCTCCATTCCCCTGTTTTTAATTTATTACTCTTTAAGTATGGTTTAAGTAGCAGATGTTTAAACACTTTTTAATCGGGGAAACTGCAAAGTGTAACTGCTGGGTTTGGCAGGCGGCAGGTCCCGGCGTCCCCGGCCAGCTGATAAACGTGTTCTGCTCACGACGTCATTGTGCTGCAAAGGTGCAGACGTGATGTGACCACATCACGGCTGCCAGACATCTTTCTGCGAGGCTCAAGAAGAGTTCTTCCATTAGTCAGTCAAATTGGCTAAAGTGGAAGGGCTGCATAAGGAAAATATTCCTTCCCACTGTCAGGTAAAATGTCTAGGGGCTGAGGCATGCTCCTCAAATTAAAATAAGGTCAATTTGCATTCCGAGTGGAAGGAATTAAAGTGAAAAACTGTTTGTCTTTTGGTTTGATTGCAAAAGCGAAGTTGGAAACAGTTTAGTCGTGCCCGACGATGCCACTCGGCTGTGAAGCGCCCTGGACGGGTGTGAGCCTGCTCAGGCAGTGAAGGGAGAGTGTTGAGAAAATAAATGCCAACTTTCATCTCTTCTGTCATTGCTCTATCCCCCCAGAGTCTTAGTGAAGAGTGAATATTTTTAAATCAACACAGTAACTTATAGACTTTCTTCTTTCAAAACAATTATCCAAGGGGCAAACGTCATGAGCCTGTAACACAGAATGCGCACTCACTTTTGATGTTTTCTGTTACCTACCTCTGTCCCCGATGGATACACAGCAACATGCCTGGGTGTGGTCCTGCAGGAAAGCATTCATTCATTCATTCATTCATTCATTCATTCATTCATTTGTTCATTCATACTATTGCTGGGTTACAGGTGACTGTGATATGGTTCCCACCAGGAAATAGTGTGTGGGAGGGAGAAAACGTTGGGGCCAGGGCAGGAGGGCCTTTCTGTGCAGCTCTATTGCTGTGGAGCCTGGGACAAGCCATTTAAGCCACCTGGGTCCCCTCTCCTTGTCCATACAATAGGAATAATGATACTTCCCCTGGAGAAATGCTTTCTACCTGGGATCACCTAGAGTCTCCTGAAGGTGGTTGCTGTAAGTGCAAAATCTAAAGCCAACCCCAACCTGCTGGATGAGGTGCTCCAAGCATCTGCATTTTGAGTTCCCTGAGTGTGTTGAGAATGCCAGATGTCACACTGGGATTCCCTTCTGTATTTAAGGCCTCCAATTCTCAGTATGATTCATTATCTATGAGATGAAGCTATCTCTTACATTTTGTGCTGGTCTCGCTCTATTGATTTTAGCCGGAGATGCTGCTATGGTTTGAATGTTTGCATCTCCTCCAAAATCCACACTGAAATTTAATCCCCAGTGCAACAGGAAGCAGAGGTGTGGCCTTTAGGAGGTGATGCGACCTTGAAGGCTCTGCCTTCATGAATGGATTTGTACCTTATTAAAGGGCTAGAGGGGGTGATTTGTCCCTCTTACCACATGAGGACATAGTGTTCACCCTCTCTGGAGGACACAGCCACAGGAATCATCTTGGAAGTAGAGAGCAGCTCTCTGCAGACACCGAGCCTGCCAGCACCTTGATCTTGGGCTTTCCACCCTCAGCCTCCAGAGTTGAGAAGATAAATGACCATGACTTATAAACTACCTGGTGTCAGGTATTTCATTATAGCAGCAGAAATGGACTGAGATGCATGCTGAAATCCTGTCACTGGTTTGTGAAATCCTCTGGCTCCTTACAACCTCAGGCCATTCAGTGGCCCATCCTGCTGGTGGCACAGAGGCTGGGGAGCATGTGGCGTGAGGTTGGATTCAGAGGGAGGGGTTCAGGGATGTCAGGGATGCCTCACAGAAAAGAAGGCACCTCACTGAGGTCTGTTTTATTTATTACCTGATGAGCGGGGGAGTTTGGAGTGGAGTGGCTGAGATTCTCCCGGGCACCTGGCAGCCTGGTCTTTGCCTCTTGCTATCCCAGGAGTCAGGACACTGAGGCGCAGCCTGGTAGCCTGTGCCTTTGTTTCTTTATTTATAAACAGGATAATAATGCCTGACCGTTTTGCCCAATGGGTTGATTTGAGGCTCCAGGGAAACATGACAGGCACAAGAAAGGCTTTTGATAACCATCAGGTTTATCAGAAGCTTTATTCCACTTCCTAACCTGAATCCTCTTTGCCCTCAACTCATTCCCCTTGACCCTACCTAGTGATGGATGATGGGCTTTTGTTAATAATGGATTATTGGTTTGGAAATGATGGATGAGAATGTAAATGCTTTTCCCCAGCAAACTTCACTTCCAGGAAGAATTGTGGGGCTAGTGGTCTTCTGGGGGATCTACAGAAACCACCTCAGGCACCCCCAGCATGGAGCTCTCCTTGCCTATTCCTGCAGGCATGTTAGCCAGTGGCATCACTGTTTTTCTTTCTAGTTTTGTATGGAGATGATTTGGGAGATAATTTTTAGCTCTCCAAATCTGTCTGCCTGCCCTGCAGACTCCAAGCACCAGCACTAGACACAAAGAAAACAGCTTCACAGAGACTCTCTAACCAGCTCCCACAATTGCATAAAGTTAAATCTCTATAATAAATCTTTCGTACGGTCTATCACTTCCTAGTGCTTCTGTTTCTCTGAAACAGCTGATACAAGCAGGATTCCATTCACAACACTACACTGGGACTGGCTGAGTCTTTTATAAAATGGGAAGCCTCAGGTCCCACACTCCAGCTGACCCTTGGGTTTAATAGTTTGTACCATTACCTAACTATTCCATCTGATTTGTGAAGGCATCCTATTAAGGTGGCAGCAAGTTTCCTTCTCTCAATTATTTCCTGCCTGAGGGAACTCTGGGTTCTTTCTTTACTTTCCTATCTTTAGAGAGACCGAAGTGACACAGGAGTGGTGCCTGCTGTGTCTCAGGCATTAGCCTTGGCTTACAGCTGTGATGCCCCATGTGTGACCAAGCCCTTGGAAGAATAGCACTCCATCAAATGATGGTCATGGCCTTGTGTTTGCAGCTGAGTCCCCTGTAGAATTGCTGTAGACCCTGCTGGATAGGCTCTCCTGCCCTCCCTGGGGTGGTGACACAGGCTCCCCTGCTGCTACTCAGCTCCAGCCCATGGTTGTACAAAGTCTCCTCTCCCAGACTCTCCTGCTGGTGGTCCCAGAACCTTTCCAGGAAGTCCCCTGAGCAGGCTTTAGGAATCACTGTCTCTCCTCCATGCCCACACCTGGGCCCTGGACATCACCTCTTAGGGGAAGTGGACCTCATGCCCACTGTGCTAGTGCTCCTCTCTTTGCTCTGCTGCTGCAATCCCACAGCCCATAGCTTCTCATCAATGGCTTCTTCACTCAGGTGGCAGACATAGTCCACCAGACCTCCCCAAATCCAGGCACATGGAGCAAGGTCACAATCAACCCCATAGATGTTGGTCTCTCAGCTTGAGATGAAGGGGAGCACACACTTCCTCCCACCCACCTCCCTCATCCACCCCCATGAAGGTGTCTCATAGTTTGCTCAAGAAATCCTTTTCACCAGCCTCTACTTCTCAAGCCTGACCTCTTTATGTCCTTGATGTGGGAGAATTATCTAACTAGTTCTTGATCACCTTCTTTAAATGTTTGCATTAAGGTCTATTTTGTAATTCACTTGTAGTCTAAAATCTGTTATGTTCTTGATGCCTCAGAGAAAGCTTCTCATGCAATATCTTGTTCCATAGGATGGCAAAACTTTGACAATGCACCCCAGGGAGATGGTGTCACATGCGGAGTCAGGCACAGGAAACCATCTGGATGTTGGGGTCCTAGGTTGGTGACCACAGCCGTAAGATTCCCTTGACTCACTTCAGTGGCTCTGGCTTCAAGATGGCCAACC